CTCCTGTGTCCTGAGCCTTCCGCACAACCCCACGAGCTCTGTCAGTGCCCACCCAGGTGCCGGTGCAGAGGGGACTTGGTGCTGCTCCCGGGCAGGGAGACAGCTGGTAGCTGGGACCTCTAGTGGCCAGGCCGGGCCTCACCTGGGCTGTGCCTGTAACCACTGCTGTGCTCCAGCCTCACTCAGACACATGCATGTTGGTACTGGTGGGGGACCCAGGTCGCTTGCTGGACAGGGCTCTGTGGGTCTGGAGTCCCTACCCTTGGCCCACCCCCCACATTTTAGGCACCCATGCCTGCATGGTGGCTGCTCTGGAGGGACACTGGTCCCTAGAAGGGCTCCCAAGCACAGCGCCCAGCCTGGACAGAGCTCCCACGTCCCCCAAGCAGGCACCAGCAGCCTTCCCCAAAGTAAAAACGACCACGACAGGGAAACATTTTGAATCCTCAGGACATTGAGGCAGCCAGGACAGAGGAACTAAAAACACTCAGGAAAGAGGGCTCCAGAGCTGCTGCGGGAAGTGGCAAGGGCAATGGGATGAGTGTGTTTGAAGTAAGGCTGAGGATTTCGAGGTTTGCTTTTTAATTTAAGCATTCACTGTACTTTTAGATCACACCTCATAAATATCAGTCACCAGACATGTGATGTCCTTTTCCTGAAACTGTTCTTCAGAAAGCTTGTTTGTGTGTCTAGGGGACACCATGCTGTCTGTCACCGCAGGAGCCCGGGGACAGAAATGTGCTCTGACAGGGCCACATCCTACCAGCATGTCCTGTGTGGCCCCTGGAGAGAGCACAGGGAGCAGGACGAACTTTAAAATCTGTCTCAAGGAAGAAGCAAGCTACAGAGCGGGGCAGGGACCTGACCTGTTTGACCAAGGACAATACCTTCTCCCAGAGAGTTTCTAGAAAGTCAACAGGAAGCCACTAGTCACAGTTGGGAACAGGAGGGAAGCAGGGGCTGGGAGGTCGCAGCAGGGGCTCCTTCATGAGGATTCCTCAGGCACAGATTATCAGAGACAGCAAGTCAGGATGGCAGTGTCCACCTCCTCTCCTCCTGAGACGCCCTCTCTGTGCCAGGAGAAAGGACATACCTTCACGGAGAGGTGCAGTCGGCAGAATTCTGTCACCAGGACTTGGGGAAAACTGCACGTCTTCCTTTAGCCTCCCATTCACTTAGTGTTCCACTGCCGCCTCTCTTGTTGGGCCAGAGGCTTCTGTCCAACCAAGCCTTTGCTTTTCCTTTGGGTCTTCACTTCCTGTAAGGCTCCTGGGTCACATAAACCTATGTCCTATGTAGCAGACAGCCCTGCCCAATACTAGCTGGCTATGATTGGCATTTGCATCTTGTTTTCCATAATTCAGCTATATTGTTTTATATCAGGAGCCAAACCAAGGCTCTCCATGACTTAAATGGGCATGTGAAATGGTGGACAGGTTAAGTATAGCCCCTCCCCCAAGGGCTGCCATGGAAACAGAGGCCCTGATCTGTGAGGGGCAGGCTCTGCTGAGTTACGTGCAGCTGAGGTCAGCATGACCTCAATTAAAATCTTTTCCCCTGAATTATGGCCTCTCACTGACCCAATGGGTTGCTTGCTGATTGCACCTGGTACCAGTACCTGTTTGTTCTATCCAAACAAGATAACCAGTGCTTACTCCATTATAGCCCTGTGCAGTGCCACCATGCCAGGTGTTTGATAGTATTTCACTAGATGCCTTCAAAGCATACCCTGCTCCCTATTCCTCCCCACTGTTGTATTTAATAAATACTGGATTGGCTTGGGGGCCTTTGTCATTGTTGCCTAGAGCAGCACTGATCAGGTCCCAAAATCCTGTTTCGTTTCCTGACTTTATTCAGCTTTGCATTGTAGTGGCTGACAGGAGGCCAGGACCCACTGCAGGGGTTCTAGTAATGTCCCCTTTCCCATTCCTTATAGTCCTATGTGTTTCCCGTTTATCTTATGTCCATTTAATTCTCAGTTCTGGCTTGGACTGTAGGAAGGTGGAGGTAGTGATGCCCTTCCCCATCCTATCATGTACATAGTACCTCTTTTCAAAGAATATTTCAGCAGTCCCAGTACTCAAGAGGCTGAGGCAGGAGGACTGCCAGGAGTTCGAGGCCAGCCTGGGCTGCACAGCAAGACTCTGTCCTAAAAAACCAGCCCCACCTCAGAAACCACCCTTCCAGGAACTGATGGGCACAGCTCCCCTTCTTGGCCACGGTCCCTTCCGGAGCTCTCTTCCTGCCCACACCTGGTCAGCTTCCTTCGGGACTTCTACCCTTGTCCTGGGTAATTTACAGTGAGTACGAACTTGTTGGCTCAGATCTCTGCATCTGGGAAGTCCCAGATGGAGCAGTGGCATTGCTGCGGGATCCTTCTTTCTGTCCAGTCCTGGGAAAAGGCAGAGAGAGCAGGAGAACCAGAGGGCCAGCTCATCCTTTCTCTCAGAACCCGCTCCCTGTGACGGCTCTAACCCACTCACTGGGTCAGTGTCCTAGGGGGCTGCTCAGCTCTGAGGCCCAGCTCTTGGTGCAAAGGCGAATCCATGTGAACAGGAGCTCGGTGGGCACTGACTGGTGACACCGCAGCTGACCGCAGTGCTGTGGGCAGGGAAGAGGCGGCAGCTGCAGGGAGTGTGGGCTTTCGCAGCCAGTGTCGTGTGTGAACTCAGGTGCTGAAGACGAGACGGGAGCTGCATCCCAGGCACAGTGCCCCAAGTTGGGGGCTCAAATAGACAGGGCAGATGACAGACCCCAGTTGCACAGGTGAACAGTGCTCCAGGGCCTAAGATCAGAGCAGTGCTAGGTGAAGAAAACTTGTGAAAGCTGCTGCATCTTCTACTGTGGGCACACACTTAGGTCAGCCTAGAATAAATCCCCAGGGCCACTGACCACTGAGGGCCGACCCGGTTTCACTTGTGTCTTCCGGCATCCTGCATCCTTCCTGGGTGGGGCTCCAGCTCTGCCTGGACCCCACTGTTGCCCTTAAGAGCCCATCTCCCTGTAGGTCCTGGACAAGGGTATCCCGGTGTCCAGAGTCCTCGCCATGATGGGGGGGGGGCTGGACTCAACAGCCTTCCTTGTGGCCCAGCGGCGGGCATGTTTTGTTTCGCTTTTCACTCCCTGTGTTCCCAAGGTGATGGTGGGACTCACGGCTGACGCTTGGCCTGTTTTCCCCAATACCAGGCGGGATGCGCTGAGGCAGGTGAGCAGGGAGCAGACTGTGCAGGAAGGGAGTAGGGCGTGGATGCAGCAGGTCGCTCCCCCTGGTTCCCACTTAAGTGGCGGAGCAACCCGATTCCGAGAACCCGCCCAGTGGGCCACACGCAACAGTGCACAGAAAAAGACTGCCGAGGAGGGTCGAGGACAGCCCTATCCGGACCACCCCAGCCTGCGATAAATACGTCGATCCTCCCCAGCCCTTTCTTTCTCTTGCCCGCGGCCTTTTGCCAAAATCAAAGGCCATGAATTCCGACCCCGAGGTACCGAGGCACTGAGGCGTAGAGGCCACCACCACTGGCATCCCCACTCCTCGGGTGGCCGCACTGCGCACGCGGGCCGAAAACCGCTTCCGGACCCCGCGGAGCGCGGAACTTCGAAGCCGCGGCTCCTGTTTCCGCCCGGCGGTGTGCGAGAGGAACCAACTTCCGGGTTCCTTGAGGTTCTCGCCGGAGAAGA